GGGTTTTTACATTTAAGCTGGCATACACTTGCACATGTATGGGTTTTTTTCTCTGACTTAGACTAGAGTCAAAGACAAAGAGCGTGTTATTTCAAATAATTCCATTGCTAACATTTGTGGCCCAACGTTGTATACTACTTACACTGCATGCCATCTCATCGTGTGACTGGACTGTGTCAAAAGGCGAGAGCTAACTTCCAGATATATGTTTGCAAAGTGCATTGGAAGCAGGAGATCCCACAACCATAGACTTTGGCTGGTACAAAGATGAAGATAGAAACATCTTGATTACAATGTTACACCACAAGAGAACACGTATTTGACAATTATTTTTATTTTCACAGTATAATCACATTACAAATTTACTGTAGGCTAATCAGACGTCTACTCTAATTTTAAACCATTTAATTTCTTGATTGGGCCTGCTCATTACAATTTTAGGGGAACCCTGTAATAGTAGTGAATACATAGCACATGGAGACAGTGGAAACAGTTCATGTAAAATTCAATTGAATAAAAAAATTAAATTTATCTGAGAATGACGAAGGTATAAAAAATGGTTGCATTGAAAGCATTCTTGAAATTTGTTCTGTTTGGTGTCAGAACTACCAGTGTTGTTATTGACAACTACCAGTGTCGTTGTTGTTGACACCGCCAGTGTTGTTATTGACACTACCTGTTCGTAGATTATTGTAACCAAACCCATTGGTAAATAATAAATTCTTAGAAAACATTGTGAAATATATTTTCAATAATTTAGTATATTGAATAACTCAAGATATAGCTAATTTAGCTACTTTGTACATTAGATACCTTGATATATAGCTAATTTAGCTACTTTGTACAATAGATAACTTGAGATATAGCTAAATTAGCTACTTTGTACATTAGATAACTTGATATATAGCTAATTTAGCTACTTTGTACATTAGGTAACTTGAGATATAGCTAAATTAGCTATATGTAGATTGTATATGATGAGATACTTGGTACTCAAGCTAACCAAATCTTAACCTATTTATAAATTGAGCCACATTCACCAAAATAGAATGCAACTATTTCAACATTTAAAGTTACATCAGAAAATAAAATTAAATATTACATTTCAATGAATACAAAAACAATAAAAGAGACAACAATGGGGCACTTTCATTGCAGTCACACCATCCTACAGTATTCACAAAAGACAATCTATAAATTTAACTGTCTGATTTTTTTTAATTCAGTATTTTTCAACGTTGGATAAAAATATGAACAAGTCATATACACATATGGGACCTGTTTCTAATTAAATGAATTTCAACATTTTAATATCTTTCAAATACTTTAGACTCTCGCATTTCAAAACGCAAAAAAGGTAAACTGACAATTCTTGGAACATGAGATCATGAAAATATCTTTGAAACATGTTAGAAAAGATATGTTACAGAGTCTACACATTTGTTCCATCCACTGCGAGTTAAAAATCAGACATTGCTTTCAAAGCATATTCATGTGTTTCAAATCTCTATCTCTATCTCTATCTCTATGAACGAACATACAAAATCCTTCCCATGATGCATTAGTGTTTTCCACAACTTTGTGGCACTCTTTACAAACATGTGGCACATTACGCATGATATTTTTTTTAATTTTCCTCGTGATTATGTTCCTCTATGCATTGTTTTTACAGAAAGATAAAAATCAACTACATAGCCTATGAGCATGTTTGTGAAATACAAACACCCTTATGGCTAGTTACTGTGAAATTGATAACAAGACAAGATGTTGTCATCCTTTGCTATATAAAAAACTTAATGCGCCTAAAGAAATGGATGGCATAACATGACATGGTCATTGCGTCAGCCATTTTTATTCAAATCAGTTTTCGGCGACACCAACTACAATGCCATGCTGCCCAACAACAAAACGGTAAGCAAATAATATATGGTTGCAAATGGTACATTTCACACGTCCTTATCAAAAACTTCAATAACTTTCAAGTATCACTATCTCAAAGTACACGTAATACTGATAGCAAAAAATTTATGAGAAAAATAATTTACAAAAAATTTGACATGATTTGATTCATATTAAAAATGATTGTTCAGATGAAGCAAGCAATATGGTCAGAGTCTTTGTTCCACAGTGATTATTATGATAATTACTGGTGGGTCACGGCAATGAATGTTGTTGGTGTCACATGTGGAAATGATTTGAACAGGTCTGACACGATGACTTACGAACACACAAAGATGATTTCCATTTCAGTGTTATGCAATGTCCATTTCAATGTTCGAAGCACTTTGTGGTGTTCTGCAAGAAATGAAGAACGAGATGACGATCATGATAACTCAAGTCAGCTGATGATAGCTTTGATGTGATGAATGTGTTCCGGCCGGCCATACATTCTGAACTGATGGTTTCAGTGTAATGTAAGTGTCCAGTTCAAAATATGTTCTGACACAATCCAATGATATACATGTGGGACAACCATATTTTTTTATGAATTTTAATACAATATATTTATTACAATTTATGCAACCAATATTGTTAAGATTATAAAATAGAAAACTTGGGTTCATCTGATAAATTATCAAGCCTAGAATATACATTCTTTTTAAAGATTAAGATAGTTTCTACTACACCAAGGAAGGATAACTATTAAACACAATAATGCTCTATTGACTGGTGGTAGGTAGCTGGTAACAATTATCTAGTGTGGCCAAAGAATTAGGCATATGTTACTTTTATTTTTGACAATACAAGTAATGTTTTTGTTTGTATAGCTATTACGGTGGCAATGCATTCTGGGAAAGAAGACCTGCAGCAGCTATTATTAAACTGACATAGAATAAAGCTCTTACAAAATAATGTCTGTGTTGCCAAGCAACAGTGTAATGTCTTTGATGTAGACAGCTTCCCATATTCAGAGAATGTCTTGATTTATAGAATATCATTAGTGCAGAAACAGAAATAAACAATTTGTTTTTATTCATCAAACTCACAAAATGACATGACCACCAAAAAAATATTGTGACAGAAACTTTTTATAACTGCAGTCAGGCCACCATGCCAAACTGTTAAAGCAATCTGTGATCAAAACTAAAAAACTAAAACAGATCGTTTTTTTCTCTCAATACTGATATAAAATCTAGTTCAATATTTAACTATGATGACTATAATGAGGTAGAAGTTAACTTAATACAATCCAACTACCGGTAATATATAATGATATATCCAACTACCGGTACTGTAGAACTGGAAATTATTTATGCAGGTATAGAGTCTAGTGAAATTAACAGAGAAAAACACTAACGCAAAAATAATCAAAGAAAGCTTAGAAAGAACTCCCGTGTACTAAGAGTATTGAAGACACATTAAAAATTAATTCAAAATTACTTGTACATGAGATATTGATGGAAAAGCTGAAAACTAATTATGTAAATCAGGTAACTAATATGAACAGAACAGAACAAAAAAATTATGAATTATTATGCTAATTAGAGAATTAATATTAATCAAAATTAATCAGGCCTGTCTATTGTCCTAGAGCATTTATGTGCCAAATTTTATTCAAATGTGATGATCAGTAATTGAGATATTAGTGTTAATTAATTATGTTAATTAGGTGATTAATAAGCATAAATATTTACCAAAAACTAATTGGGTTTTTGCATAGTTCTCTTTAAAAGTTTCATTAAAATCCAATTTGTGGTTCTTTATATATCAGTGGGACATTATGGTAATTAATATCCAATTAAAACTAATCAGGTGTCTGCATAATCCTGGAAGATCTATGTAGCAAGTCTCATTGAAATATGATGATTACTACTTGATATATCAAAAGCTGAAAATTAATTATGCAAATTATGTAATTAATATGTACTCATATTACTCTAAAAACTGTCAGGTCTGTGCAGTGTCCTATGACATCTATATACCAAGTGTCATTGAAATGTGATGATTACTACTTGAAATATCAAAAGCTGAAAATTAATTATGCAATTTAGCTAATTAATATATACTGATATTACCCTAAAAACTATCAGGTCTGTGCAGTGTCCTATGACATCTATGTACCAAATTTCATTGAAATGTGATGATTACACTACTTGAAATATCAAAAGCTGAAAATAAATTAATCATGCAAATTAGGTAATTAATATGTACTCATATTACCCTAAAAACTATCAGGTCTGTGCAGTGTCCTATGACATCTGTGTTCCAAGTTTTATTGAAATGTGATGATTAGTACTTGAGATATCAGTGGAAAAGCTGAAAATTGATTAATCATTATGCAAATTAGGTAATTAATATTGCACAGATTTTTACCCAAAACTAATCAAATCTGCGCATTAGTTTGGAGCATCTGTGTGCCAAGTTTCATCAAAATCTAATGAGTGGTTCTTTAGATATCGGTGGGACAGTCATGGAACAGCTAAAAATCAGCTAATTATCATGCAAATTAGGTAATTAATATGCATGGTTTTTACCAAAACCTAATCAAATCTGTGCATTGGCCCAGAGCATCTATGCACAAAGTTTCATCAAAAACTGATGTATGGTTCTTGAGATATCAGTGGAACAGACGGACATGTGCAAATATTTTGTTTGCCTGGTATATTTTTTGTTTTGATGCGCTGTATCAGGCCATTGTTGTGAAACAGAAATGTCATTGTTGTGAAACCAAAACGCCGTTGTCATTTATCAAAATATAACGCTGTTACACAAGGTGCTAAAAATCATTACATTTGAATAAAAAAAAAAAAAACTGAATGTCCATCAGGATTTTACATGTCATTTGTAATATTTTGCTGGACAAGTATGTATTATACAAAGTTTTTCATCCTGACTAACAAAAAATGTGTTAATTGTTTACAAAAACATCTATTTTTGATTCCAGTATTTATGAAACATGGACATGCAAATGTCTTGCCACTATATTCTATTCCGTGAAAATAACTACATGTTAAAAATTCCAGTTCTACAGTATATTAATAAACTAAGATGGGATTCATATTCCAGTAATAAAGTCCCTCCCATGTTTAATGCTGTGATGATATTGACATGAATATTATCAACCAATATGAAGGGAGGATTTCAAATTTTTCACATACAGTTTATTTTAGTCACTATGGCGATTATAGAGCACTACTGCAAGTAAACTCCACTGCACATGTCGTGATTAAAGGTAAACAAATCACAGGTGCTGAATAACAATTACTGTAAAAACATTTATTTACACCATGTTGATGCTTTGAGCATATTCAGTGTGTTTTAATTTCATGAATTTAACAAGAAAACAATGAGTTTTATT